CCTGCCAGCCGTGGGGGTGCAGCCTGGGCCTTGGGGCCAGGAGGAGGTTAGGGTACGGAGCCGAGCCACCCTAGACACTTAGGCGCCGCGGTTCCGCGGACCTTGGCCCTGCCAATGGGAGCAAGCCAAGGAGAAAAGACCAAGACCAACGGGTTTCGGAGGGGGCCGGGATCGATGCCGCCGCTCCCCGCAGATGCGCCCCGGCAGCGCTACTCTCCATCTGCCGCCGCTCGCACCTGCCGGTCAATAAATCGATTTTACAATTTAATGCAGCAGCTTCCCGCCAGCCGGGGACAGATGCCGCCGCAGAACCACCTCCCGCCCTCGCCCCTCCCCTCGAGGCCCCCAGTGGTTAGGGCTGGGATTCCCGCTCGGCCAGCGGCCCCCCGCGGGGCCTGGTTTGCTTCTCTCTGGAGTCGCTACAAGGAACTGCCTGCTCTGGGTCTTTCCCGCGGTACCGAGTGGGTTCCCCATAGGACAGGCCTGAGCTGCTGGAGGAGGGAGGAAGATGATGACTTGGTGGTGGCCTTGAGGACTTGTTAAGGGCTTCACAGTGTTTGGGGTTGGGGGGGGGAGTGGAGAGGAAGAATGCAGTAGCTGATACGTGCGAGCCCTGTGAGGAAGAGGAAGGGTTAGGACCTGGGGCATGGACACCAGAGAAACACTGAGTCCTGAAGAAGAATCTTCATGATGGAGATGGGGAGGGTTGAGGTGCGATGACACTCTGGCCAGAGCCAAGAGTAGGCCTCTCCCCAACCTACTATGAGTCTGTTCATCAGCATGGCGTGGCCCTGGCCCTTGGCACTTCCCAACTATGTGGTCTTGGGCTTGTTTCCCCCCACCCCAAAGTCATTTATTTTGGGCTTGTATTTTAACTCTACTTCTACACCTCCGTTTTCTCATCTGTACAATAGGATCATAGTGATAGTGACCTGGAAGGGTGATTATGCATTTGCAGGACCCCCTCCCCCCCCCCTGCAAAAACACACACACACACACACACACACATTAATTTCCTTTTTTACAGGTGACATCCTGACAGCGAGGGGCAGACTTGGAGTAGAGGGGAGGTCCCTGACAGCAAAGGAAAGAAAAAGAAGAGCTGAAGATAGTCATAAGGGATGAGGCAAGAGCAGCAAAAGGTGAGAGAGAGAGGGAGGGAGAAAAGCCAAGGGCATAGAAAGGAGATGGGCCATGTGGAAAACCTCAAGTATGAGAGACATGTGGGAAGAGGGTGTGACAAGGTTCTTGGCTGGAGAGGAAAGACTGGAGCTTTAAGAACGGGCTTGGAGCCCTAATTGGTTTGGCTCAGTGGATAGAGCGTCGGCCTGTGGACTGAAGGGTCCCAGGTTCGATTCCGGTGGAGGGCACATGCCCAGGTTGTGGGCTTGATCTCCAGTAGGGGGCGTGCAGGAGGCAACCAATTAATGATTCTCTCTCATCATTGATGTTTCTCTCTCTCTCCCTCTCTCCCTTCCTCTCTGAAATCAATATATATACATATATATTTTTTTCTTTTTATTTTCTTTTTTTTTTTTTTAAAGAATGGGTTTGGGGAAGAGATAAGGTTTGGGAGAACTAATTGCCCATGGCCTTGGCCTTCCAAAAATGACACTCTGGCCAGGGCCAAATGTAGGTCTCAAGCTGATACTCCTTGTCCTTCACAGTGGTGTTTCAGAGCACAGGTGTGTAGGAGGAAGAAGCCAACTTCTGAACTGCTCTGGTCATTGAGGCTGCTGGCCACTCAGGAGGCTCTGCCCTCCCCAAGTCACCAAGAGGGCACACAGACTGGGCTGGCCTGTCCATTGGTCCATGGCTCATGACCCAAATGTACTACGGAAAGGATGTCTGAGGCCAGCCTGTGTGGCTCAGTGGTTGAGCATTGACCTATGACGATTGCATTCCCAGTTGGGGCACATGCCCGGGTTGCAGGCTCAATCCCCAGTAGGGGGCATACAGGAGGCAGCCGATTGATGTTTCTCTCTCGTCATTGATGTTTCTATCTCTCTCCCTTTCTCTTCCTCTCTGAAATCAATAAAAATATATTTTTTTTAAAAAAAGAAAGAAAGGATGTCTGAGTGGGTGAGACCATTACGCATGAGTCAGAGTGCCTCCTCCGCCTCCTTCTGAGACCAGGAAGGCCTCCCACCTTCTCTCTCCCAGGTTTCCAGGAGCCTGAGAACCTCGGCTAACTCTATACTCTAATTCCTTTGTCTTCTCCAAACTCCAGGGCAGGTGGT